AAATCAATTTTGTACATTATTTACAAGAAGCAAAATGACTTTTTTTTTAATATGCTCAGAGATTACATTGTGCAGTGCATTTGCTATTATTTCCGTGCCAATGTGGCCGCGCATCCTCGATATCGTTATGCCCATGAATGAATCTCGGCCACGTATAACGATGCCTATCCCGACTGAATACTTTGTCGATCAGGAAAAGTATTTCTATTTAATCTTGCTGCACTTAAATGTAGCTACTTGCATAGGAGCAACTGCATATATAGCAACAGGAACAATGCTCATAACATACCTCAAACATGCCTGTGGAATGTTTAAGATTGCTAGGTAAGAAAAAGAATATATGAAAAATAAACGTTTGTCTCAAGTAGAATGTCATTTGTTATTTAAAATATAAAAGTAGAGAAAGACTTTACATTTACAGTAAAATTATTATTTATAGTTATCGTATCGAGCGAGCAATGATGATCAATATTTTACAAAATAGCATGGAGAATGAAATTATGATTTATAAGGCAATGATTTATGCCGTCGATATCCATCGTAAAGCTATAAAGTTAGAACTTATATAACAATACTTATATAATATCAAACAGCATTACCAATTGTTTTAATAGCAAAACAATAATCTTTTACGACACAGAATTATCTGTAAATTAATAATACTTTCTTTTCGAGAGAATCTGTTCTTCTTCAATTACAATAGAAAAATAAAATATAAATAAATAAAATAATCTATAGATTAAATATATGTTTTGCAGTATATTACTAAAATAGCATTAAAAATAACAATATTAAAACATGTGTTCTACAAAAAATTCAAAATTACAATATGTTTTTAAATAAAATCTCCAATATGTAGTAATACCTTTTTACTTTTGAAGATTTGCCGAACTTTTGATAACCAACTTTGAGGGATCATTCTTATTTTTAATCGCAGTTAGTGTGTGTTGCTTGAGCCTCAACCTTTTCCGAGTAAGTCTTTTCGTATCTTTATGTAACGTATATATTAGACAAATAATGTAATATTTCACAATATTTTAATTTAAAAGATCAATTATTAATTTAATAAAGATAAAGAAGCCATAAAAATAATTGAGAATCTAAGTTTAAAAAAAAGTAAAACCAAATAATTCTAAAATTATACAAAAATTAAGGAAACACATATTTTCTCTTGTATCTTTTAATTTTCTTGCAATATAGAATTTATTTCTGTATAGTAATTGATACTAACATATAGATCAAACATTCAAGAAACACGGTGTATTTTAGATTTTTCAAAGTGTAACGTTTGGCAACAGTAAAGAAGAACTTTTATTACACTTTCTAATTGTAGCTATCATCCTTTTATATATGTTCTTAGCCAACTATGCTGGACAAGAAATCACGGATCACAATAACCATGTATTTTCCACAGCGTAAGAAACCACTTTATATAGTATTCTCAATTATATATAGTATATACATATATATATAATAAATTGATATATATCCATTAATTAATAACTATAATAAGTTAAAATACATATAATATATGACATATTAATTGTAATATGTTATAATTATTAATTAATTAATTAATTACATATTATATATTTTCGATTGTCTATAATTATTTTTTTTCCATAGATATAATGTTCGTTGGTATACTGCACCGTTATCCATACAGAAGCTGATATTATTTTTGTTACAAAGAGGTAGCAAAACTTTCAGTCTAAACGTTGGTGGATTGTTTGCAGCATCCTTAAAGTGCTTCGCCTCGGTAAAATCTATATTAGAATCCATCCAATGTAACACGCGGCGCGTAAATAAAATAAAAGAAAGACGTATATATCTTTGCAGCTAACGAGTGCGTCGATATCTTACTTCACCGTCATATACTCTACACAGCAATGACGTGATTGACGTGAAGACACATCATCTAATAGTATATAAGAATTAAGTAGGTAAGTGTAAAAACAAATTTTATCACCTTTAGCTAATTGTTTGACGAGGTGATACAGAGAATATATATAACAACTTTTTTCCTTTTAAATCGTAACGCTGCCTATGAAACAGAGAGGAAATAATTAGTTGATTTACATACATGTACATATTGTAGAGTCGACATAACATCGACAGAATTAACTATGAGGTATTGTATACATATAAATGTAACGCACACAAACAAAACGTACATAAAAAAATTAATAAAAAATATACACTAATTTCTTATTTTCTGTCTATTGTATTCTTTAATTTTTTTAAAAAGTGATAAATTGATTATCTATGAGAGCAAATAAAGTAGTAACAATACTGTCATAAGACGTATTTGATAATTCTAATATTCTAATATTAATTCTAATATTATTGAAAATAATTATAAGATATGTATAACACTATAAGATATGTATATCATGTATAAATATACGAGTATAAATGGAATATATCGTACATCATATAAAGATAAATAATATTATTTCTTTGATAATAGCACTAATCGTATTTATCTATACCTTGCATTAAATTTTTGGAGATCGGCAAATTTACATAATATATGTTATTTATATCCTAAAAAAGATCTTATTTTTTAATGTTTTAAATATCTCTTTCACAGTATAAGAAACTTGAGCAATAATAATATTGATTCAAATTAATGATTCAAATAATAAAACTGTTGGACTTCTGACGAAATAAAAAAATACTATTAGAATAGCTTTACTAAAGAAAGTATATATAATACCACAAAAAAGATACCACGGAAAAAGTATAATATAATAGGTAATATCATTTAATATAAATGTATAATATTTTATTAATAATTATAATTTATATTTATAATATAATTTAATATATATCTATTATTTAACACTATTAAGACATAATAAAGATATAATTAAGATATAATAAACTTTCGAATTTTTATTAGGTATCAAAGATCAGCGTTAAAATGTACGGTACAGCATATTTTACCGATGATATTACCATTATAACCCAGGTAGAGACGTCATTAAGACGTTATTACGTCATTTGACGTCATTCTGCTACCTGGGAAGATATTGCCATATCAAAATATAATCACCGATATTCTTCTCAAAGAGCGAATCTGATGTGAGTGGATGCTTTATATTTAAAATGAAATATATATAATATATATATTCACTGCGCTTGAAAAAGATAAAAACAGAAATGTAGAGAAATCTCTCTAAAGAAGATAAATCTAAAATCCATAATGTAATTGATGCTGATGTCTCTGGGTAAAATTAAATTAAAAATACCTAGTAAACTGTCTCGCATTTGCCGTCCGTGCGTACAAAAAGATCAATAATAAGTATCTTATTGTAATTTATTTAATAATTACGTTTATAAATATTTGCTTTAAAAATGCGAGATATAACAAGAATTCTTTCTAATTTCTAATTAGTTCTGGATAAACACTTCTTTGATAAAATCTTGGATTAAAATTTCTTTTCTTATTAAATTTTATTAAATATGTAATAAAAGTGTAAATATATTAAAGTCATAATATTTTTAAACTTGGTGTGGTTTGCTAGAAACAGTCTCAGCTACTTTATATAATCTTTATACCACTTTTAGAATAATTGTTATATGTATATATGTACATAGTATATTTTCATTATTAAATTATTATTAAATGGCTCTGTTATACTTTAATTTAACAAATTTCATGCTAAATTGCATCAGATGCTAAATTATATTGGTATTATAATCTTTAATTCTTTTAATTCTTCGCGTACTCGAAGTTAATTCTTTCAAAGTCTTTTTTCTCGAAAAGGAGACCTTATTCGATAAATATTTATATTATTATATTATATTATTATATAATATTTCATTTATTTTAAACTATAAAATCTAGAATCTTTTTCTGGACTTTACAGGTATATCTTATTATATTTTTTCTTTGATTTAAGAGTTTTGCTTTTTTTATATAATTATAGCGTTTACTTTTCACTTTAAACAAAATTGATTAATCTTCTATAATTTAATTACTAGTATTATTTAATTTCTTAATTTAATAATGTTAACAATAGAATTAGTTAACAAATAAGATTTTATCTATGAACCATTTCTTTCTTGACTGATTTTTGTCAATAGGTATCCATTAAAGAACATTACAAGGCATGAAACAGCGAACAATGGCGATTTAAATAAGCAAGAAAAGAAGACTTCGAGAAAACAATCTGATTCTCCTACAGACAGAGGTGATATGCATGGTCCCGAAGACTTGCAGAAAATTGATTTACGAAAATCCGTGTCGCCGACATCTAAAGTGTTTTTATTTTTCCTCTACGTATCCTATGAACGGAAATATTGCGATATGAAGACCAAAATGTAAATATAAAATATATCGTACAGATATAAGGCATGTTGAACACATATGGATGTAAGATTTTGGAAAATAAAATTTAGAAAGCACACAAATGTACACAAAATAGAGATATTTTAGAAATATTTCATGATATTTACTAACAATGTATATTCATAATCATTACGTAAAGGTATCGAGCTAAGATCCTTCTTCAAGAATCTTGTCACTTAAGGGGATCCTATAGCGAAGGCCGAACTTCCTCGACGTCGGAAATGTCAACATTTCTAATCCTGTTTTCTATGTTATATATCTATATCTGTCCTTGTCTAACAAGAGGCATCTGTCTTTGTTCGATTGCTGCGCCATCTCTCGCTACACCCAATACTGCTTATCCTATCAACCTGAATGTGCTTTTGCTTAATAAAACTTCATTTTACAAAATCTTTTTTTTCTAGACGTTGAATCTTAGTTTTATTTACACGATATTGTTCCTACATGTTGTCCCTACGTCGCCTTGGTGTCATTATATATATGTAAACTGCAGTAATTTTGTTATTGTCGTCAGATGACAGTTGTATGTGCTCAAATTAGTAAAATTTTTAATTTTTTTTTGTTCCCGATATGAAATCGTATAACGCGATGTAGATTTTTGTGCGTACTTTAATTCTAGACCAAAAACTTGCAATTCTGTAAAGCCAATTCAAAGATTCCTTAAAATAAAAAAATGTCGGTAACTACCGCCACTATAGGATCCCCTTAAAACAGCACATACCAGAAAGAAGAACTTTAAAATAAAATATATTACGCTGGAAGGGGTCGGACCGCACTTGCACAGTCAATTGTTGCACAAGTCCCTCAACAAAACACTTGCTGATGGAAACATCTGTTCAACCATCTGTTACTTTATTGTCACATAAAAATCGATCATTTAACTATACATCCTTTCTAAAATAAAAATGTAAATGGCCAATATGCTGATTTCACGGAGGTGTTTCGTTCACTATGCACTGCATGTCAATAAAATTAGGCAACTCAGCTGAATATTTAAATAAAAAATGAAACAAAGCTATAGAATATTTAATCGGCAAACAAAAGTAAGAAAACACCATTTAGGAAATACAAATATACTCTCGAATCAAAGATATTTTCAAGAAGGAATTATATGTAACATTTATCAGCAATATATATTGACAACTGTTATGTCGACATTTCAAGTGCAAGTTGTACCATTGCGAAGAAATAACCGTAACTCAAGACAGCACGCACTAGAATGAGGAACGTTACAGTATAACGCGCTGGAAGGGGTGAAGGGTTTCCACGCATCTGCGCAGTCCGCTGTCACGCAACCCTCTTCACGAAGTATTTCTTTATGGGAAATAAACATCTGTTATTATTATTACGTTGCTGGCATATTCAAAATCGATTACATTAATATCCGCAATCAACATTATAGACATAAATTATGAAATTTGCGTTGAAATTTATATCAGAAAATATAAGATGTGAAATATTCAATCGACCAACGAAAAGAGTAGGGGAACGCATACTCACTGATGTCTCCAGTCTTTGCAGTAATATTTAAAAAAGCTCACAGAGAAATGATACATCTAAGAGCTCGATATTACAGTCTCAATAGACTTCTATTGCTGGCTGTTGGTTTATGGCCCTATCAGCAATCCAAATTTACTCAATTTCAGTTTATTTTTTTCTCTGCTATTCTGTCAGCAGGTATGATATTTCAGGTAAGACAAGAACATTGTAATATTATTATAAAATCAATTTTTTTACTGTATGACAATTTTTTACTGCTGAATAATTTATCTATATATATAAGTAACGTCTTCTGTCTGTCTGTCTGTCTGACCGCGAACTACTTATTTGTTAATGGACCGATTTTCTTCAAACCAGTGCCAAAATTTTTCTTATTTTTCGGGGCATAAAGTGTATAATTTTTTGTTACCGATCTTTTTGGAAACCGGTTCCGAAATTTATTTCATTCGATAAGGATAATCCAAAAAAAGGATGTATTTCTGCCCAGTATATAGTGAAGGCCAATTTTTCATATAGGTTTAATTTTTTATTAATGTACCGATTTTTTGGAAAGTGCAGGTATACTAAAATTTTTCTGATTGCGAACTATTCATTCAATTAATGAACCGATTTTCTTAAAAACAGTGCCCAAATTTTTCTTATTTTTCGGAGATAGCGAAGATGTGTATAATTTTTCATAACCAAATTTTGGTTCTGAAAAATTATACACTTTATGGCAATCCTCGGAAAATTCTACCCCTGTTTCATATATAATTCTTCGCGGTCAGATAGACAGACATACAAACAGACAGACGTCATGATGTGTATAGTATGATATATATATATATATATATATATATATATATATATATAGTGTATAGTATGATATATATATATATATATCAAAAATTTTTTTGTGCATCGGCAGCCATCTTGAAAATAGGGGTAAGTTTGGATATCTCGGCTCTCCTATTGATCGGATTTTTTTCCATTTTTTTTTGTTTTGTAGGGAAAAATATTTGCTACAACTTTTGTTTAAAAAAGTTTTTAATAGTTGTTAAAGAAAAAAAGTTCCAACAAAAAAGGTGCCGTTAATTGGAACATTTTTATTGACAATTATATTGTTCACTGTTGGTTTTATAAAAAAAAATGTTGAAATAAAACTTGTAGAGGACTCAATTCTCTACAATTTTTGTATATGCGCTTTTGCGGTGACAAATATCAGAGACAAAGGGCACCAAAAGTATTTGCGCCAAAATTTTTTAAACAAAAGTTGTAGCAAATATTTTTCCCTACAAAACAAAAAAAAATGAAAAAAATCCGACCAATAGGAGAGCCGAGATATCCAAACTTACCCCTATTTTCAAGGTGGCCGCCGACGCACAGGGAAATTTCGTTGGAACTTTGTGAATTTGGGCATCTCCTATGACCCTCTACTCACCCTTAAAAAATTGGCTTGTCAATCCGTTTTGCCATTATCAGACCTAATTTTACTGTACTATATATAATTCTTTAAGATTCGGTCTATTAACGATTAAGTAGTTTGTGGTCAAACTTTTTTTGTTTTTTAAAGGAACCCCAAAAATTACATATATTTCCCGAAAAATTTCGGAACCGATTTCTAAAAAATCGCTAATGAAACATAATACATTATTGCCATCCCCAAAAAATTCTATCTTTATTTCATATATAATTCTTTAAGATTCGGTCCATTAACAAATAAAAAAAATTTTAGAACCGGTTCCCCAAAAAATCGGTAATGATGCGGTTCTCAAAATACGCCTACGGTCTAAGTTAGAGTATCATGAGATAGTATACCAAATTTGGTTGTTTTAATTTGAAAACTGTAGATTTGCATAGCGGACAAACATACATACAGTCATTTTTATATATATAGAGATAGCTGATAGCTGTGATATATATATATATATACATACATATATACATATATATATATATATATATATATATATATATATATATATATATATATTAGTGGACCGAATTTTTACCAAAAGTATATGAAACAAGGGTAGAATTTTCCGGGGAATGCCATGATGTGTATAGTTTTTCGTTACCGATTTTCTAGACATGAAGTAGGGGTAGAATTTCCTGAGGAGTGCTATAACGTGTACTATTTTTTGTTACCGATCTTTTTGGAAACTGGTTCCAAATGACTGAATCTCAAAGAATTGTACATAAAGAAAGAGGTTGAATTTTCCGGGGAGTGCTATAAAGTATATAATTTTTCGTTACCGATCTTTTTGGAAACTGGTATCAGAAGTTTACCGAATTTTTCGTGGAATAATTGATCAAATTTTAAAGAATTGTATATAAAACAGGAGTAGAATTTCCTGGGGAGTGCTACAAATCGTATAGTTTTTTGTTACCAATCTTTTTGGGAACCGGTATCTTTTTGGAAATCGGATACGAAATTTTCCAGAGAGAGGGAAAGAGAGAGAGAGAAAGAGAGAGAGAGAGAGAAAGAGAAAGAGAGAGAGAGAGAGAAAGAGACTATTTGCGTGTCTTATTACATATGTCCTCCGGGGCGAAGCCTGGGTAACCAGCTAGTATATATATATTACTTACCCAGGCTATTAGTATATATTATATATATATTATATATTATATAATTAGT